CAAGGAGCAGGGTCAAGGTCATATAAAGCCCATCTATTCACCTCCCAATTCATTCATTCACTCAAAAAACATTTTTGAAGCCCTGCCATGTTCTAGAGCTTGGGAATCTGGCGGTAGGTATGACAAGCAAGTTCCCTGCTCTCATGGAGCTCACACTCTGGGGGAAATAAGAGAATAAGGAAGGGAATGTATAAATAAGGTAACTTCAGAGGAGACATGACAGGGTGACAAAGTAGAGAAGGTGGGCAGGGAAATCCAATCACCATCGGCTCCCAGGCCCACAATCTTGGCAGAGTCTCTCAAGTGACTCTCTTCTCCCAGAAGCCCATTCAGAAGATGAGAGAACTGAGGCCGGGAATCCTGGCTTTTAATTTTTTGTTTTTGCCCATAGAGTCTGGGAATCTGGGAGTGGAATGAATACCCTGCCCCTCACTGAGCCAGCATGATGCTGTGGGGAGGTTCTCAGACAAGTGTCTCCTCCTAGGGGGCCGTGACCCAACCCTGGCCCTGTGCTGGCTGCACCTCAAGGAGCATATGGATGTGGGAGTGGAGAACTCACAATCAGGCAGAGACCCACGCTCACACTGCACACACTGGCAGTGAGTGACCTGAGGGCTGTCTGGGAACAGGAGGCCAGGCCTCATCTCCTGGCTCCCATTGGCTAGTGGAGGTGCTGTTAGCAGGTTCAGGGCAGTGCACAGGGGCCTGGCTGTGGAGTGGAGGGTAGAGCAGACAGTCTGGCTCTGTTACCCCAACTTTGACTCAGGACGACAGGAGACTCTCTGGGCAGCTGCTCTGCCATCTATGGGAGCCTCCTGGGCTCCTGTTCCCGCCTCACTGCCCGCACTTCACTGTCTACGCAGCCGGAAGAATCCCTTTGGAACCCAAATCTGCTCCTGTCCCCCCTGCTCAGAACCTCCCACAGCTCCCATGGCAGCCAGAGAGAGCCCAGGCCAGAGAGGACACACTAGTGACCATGTCCTCTGAGCCAGGTCATGCCATGTGCCCCCAGCACTGTCTCATTAACCCTCCAACTACCTGAGTGGACTATTGTTATCCTCACTTCTGATGGGGAGACCCCATGGTGTTTGGTGGAAGAAGGATAAAGGAATGAATGAACAGTGGGGCTGACCGCCCTTCTCCATTGCCCCAGGGTCTCAGAGGACGCAGAGGAGGAGACCTGGTTCCAGGCTCAGGCGGCAGATGCTCTTGGTCAGCAGCAATGCCCTGCTTTGCCCTTCACAATGGGGGTGTGACTATCACTTTAAAATGGGAGACTCTGCTCTCACTCACCAGGGTGCTGGACAGTCCAGGCCGCTGAGTGTTCCCATCCCTGGGGCCACAGATGACAAGGGGAGGGGAAGACAGATGTGACTTTCATGGACAGGCTCACAGGGACCAAGGCCACAGGAGGCAGAGGTGCTGGCCAGAGGCGGTTTGCCCAGGGCTGCTCCAGGCCCCTGGTGTGGGCGTGGCCTTGAGCCCACACTGCCCAGTCAGGCAGCATGGGGACATCTGTGTGGCCACCTCCCCGTTTTCATGTGACAGGCAGGTGGGGCATGACATGGGGACCAGGGACTGCCATCTGCTCCGGGAGGGCATTGTGCTGAGAGCCACGCGTCCCATGACAAGGGCAGGGGTGGGGCAGCTGGGATAGAGGGTAAAGGAGAAGGGAACCAACAGAAGGCGCTTTCAGGAGGGTGGGCTCTGAGGGCAGGGCTGTCGGGGCTGCTGTCACCATCTGTGCCCATCCCCTCCGAGGTGGCTCTGGGCTCAGCTCAGCTCGATGGGCCCCCTCCCCGCCCAGGGCCAGGCTGCTCCTGTGCAGCGGGCGCTCAGCCCTGGTCAGCCATGGAGCCAGCATGTGAACCAGCCCCCTCTGGCTCCACAGTCTGCCCACCAGGCCGTTCTGCTCAATCACTCGGAGACCAGAGTGTTGGGAATGGTCCCCAGGCTGCACCGTGGCCAGGAGGTTGCCCCCGAGGGAGTTGCGACCCTTTTGCGCTGACCTTTCTGGTCCTGGATGCTAGGACACTCCAGCCAGAGGTGGCCCAGGATGAGGTGCAGGGAGGGGAGCCACCAGGAGGGGACAGGTCCACAGTCCTCAGACAGGGACGCCACAGCCCAGGTCTCCAGGGAGAAGAGTCTGCAGCCATCTCTTCCAGCTGGGACTGTGCAGGGGGCAGGCTCCCCGATGGTGCGGGAGCCCCAGTCAGGACGCCTGGCTGCCTCGCCGAGCAAGCCTCTCTGCAGCCTGAACCTCAAAGTGATTTATTTTTCTTGTTTTGATGGGAACTCGGCATGCCCCCTTTTGAGCAGTTTTAGGGGAGGAGGCGGACTGTCGGGAACAAATGTGTCTGAACAGCTGCCTGCATCGTGCAGATCCCACAGGAGCACCTGCAGGGGTTTGTCTGGTCCCTGGGCAGGAGGGTCACAGGGACACGTGCTCACGACCTTCAGAGCTGACAGAGGAGGGGACCCTTGGCGCTGGGCCCCAGCGGGGTGGCTGTATTGATTCGGACAGCTGGGCACTGAGCTGGAGGGAAAGGCCAGGCAGGGCTGGTCCTGCAGAGCCGTCTTCATTGTTCTCCCCTCCACGCCTGCCCGAGCTCACTCACAGGCGATGCACAGATATTCTGTTTGTAATTAAAAAGTGATTTAATTATCCGCTGAAAATGAGGTTCCAGAATTAATATTGAGATGAATTATGGCTGTGCCACAACAGCTCTTCTCCCTGGTCGTTAGGAATTGGGAGGAGAGAGGCCCCACGAGGCCCCATGGTTTTCCTTCCTTGGCCACAGAAGCCCCAGAGCCGGCAGCCGGGATGTCCCAGCACAGGAGGGACCTGCGAGGGCTTTTAAATCTCCCTGCACCTGGCGTGGAGAAGTGGAGACGGACTGCAGGGTGTGGGGGTGGCGGGGAGCTCAGGAGGCTCTGCCCAGGTTATCCCCTGGAGCTGGGCACGTGGCTCCAAACAGAAGTGGGGTGTCAGCTGGGCAGCAGGAGGGACGGTGAGGCAGAGGGAGGTGACACTGGTGTGGGCCACAGCCTCAGCGGCATGAGACGGAGACCCAGGACATGTGACATACTGTGCATTTGTAAAGCACCCAGTGACCTGCCACTGTTAATCACTTACAACAGAGATTGAAAAGTAAGAATGCTGACTTTGGGGCCAAGATTTTGGCAGAGCAGAACCCCGGGTCTTGACTCTTCTGGGGTCTTCGTTATGTGCCCACTGCCGGCCCGCCTGCCTCCTGCAGAGCCTCCCGAATGCTCTGATTGGCCCTTGGGAGCACAGGTTCCTGGAGCCAGGATCACAGAGGTACTGCGGAAGCCTGGGCCGTTCAAGGCTCCCTCCCATCAACCAATACTCTGATCGATACCCTGTGAGCTGAAGCTTCCCGGCAGGGGACTGGTTCCCAGAACTGATAGGCAGGGACACCGGGGACCTGGCTTCCTGGCTGTCCTGGCTGCTGGGTGGTTGGAGGTCTCCAAAAGCTCTCGGACAAGGGCTTCATCGATCACAGCCAGAGGGTCCCAGCCTCTGCAGGCAAATGAGGGCAGGACCACAGGGCATGCGCCAGAGCAGGAACTTACATGGTGGGCACCCGCTGGGCAGTGCCGTGTATTTACTGCTGCTGCCCATCCTGATTTACCCCTCGTTGCAAGTGTGGGACCCCCTCCACCCTCCCACACACCCGTGGGCTGGGTTTGATTCGGGCACGCCCGGCTGTGACCCCTGCTGTGGGTCACGAGCTGTTGAGGAGGTGCCTTTTCCAGGCCCCTGAGTTTTTTCTGTTTGCTTGTCTCCTCTTTCTCACTCTGCCCCTCCCCCTTCCTCTGAGATCAGGCACAATTGACACTTGAGCCCCTAAGGTCAGGGATTATGGAATCCGGGCAGACACATGCCTGCGGCTGAAGAATTACCCAGCAGCTGCTGGGCCCCAGGATGCTGGGGGGTTGCTCCAGCTCCCAGCCTTGTGGGGAGGATGTGGCCTGCACAGAAGTAGTGTGTTTCACCCCTGGACCAGGGCTGGGATGGGTGCTGGGGTTGCAGGGAGGAAACAGATCCTGTCCCCATCCTCAGCGAGGTCCCAGTCCCACAAGTATGAGCATAAGTCAGACTTTGGGCCGAACCCAGGTCCATACATTTGGGTGAATAGGAAATTCATGCTGTTCCCCCCCATCCCTCAGTTTCTTATTCCAGACCATCTTTCCACTGGAGGGAAGGGAGTTTTATAGTTTTCTGTTTTGCATATAGAACTATGACCCATTTTGAGTTAGTTTTCATACAGGTATGAGGTTTAGGTGCTACATCTGTAAATAAATTTGGTGGCGGGGATTGGGTGGGGGTGGGGGGGCTGACGTTGTTACTATGTTAAGTGTTTCAATCCCTGAACATGGTATGTCTTTCCATTTAGTTAGGTCTTCTTTGATTTTCATTGCTTTATAGTTTAAAGCATAAAATCCTGTACATGCTTGTTAGATTTATATTTAAGTATTTCATTTTTGGAGAGACTTTATAAATGGCATTTAAAATTGTTTTTCTTATTATACATTGTTGTTGTAGAGAAATATACATTTTTGTGTGTTGACATCGCTAATCTCACTTTTAACTTCTAGGACTATTTGTGTGTGTGTGTGTGTGCATTCCTTGGAATTTTCTATATAACAATCATATAAATGAAAATAACAGTTTTGTTTCTTCTTTTCCAATTTATATGCCTTTTATTTTTGCCTTTACATGCTGCTTTTTAAAATTGTATTTTTTGCCAATATTAAAAACACACACCCACAAACTATTTTACATAAAAAACCCTGGCCTCATTCAAAACCAGAAAAGTAGACCCCACAGCCCCTGGCCTCCCTCACACTACAAGTTGACAGAGCTGAGGAGCAGCCACTCCTAAGCACAGGGCACATGCCCCTTGCAGCCCCGCACCAGCCCACTCACCCAGCCAGGTCACTAGCCCACCCCTTCGGGCACCTGCCTGTGCAGCCTTTGCCCTTAGCTGTCAGATCTTGGGGGATGGCAGAGAGCAGTAGTTCCCCCCAGCGCCAGAACTGTGGGGTCACTTCCAAGTGTCCCAGGTGTTATGCAGATAGCAGGGCGGACAGTAAGGCTAAGAGGGACAGGCACCAGTCCATGGCAACTGCTTGAGCCAACTCAGGCCCCAGGCTGAAGTGTGGCTGTGTCTCAGCCAGTGCCGGCTCAGAGAGATGGTGCCTAGGGACCACGTTGGTCCCAGCTGACACCTGGTATCACATAAATCCTCAGAAAAGGGGACTGGTCAGCCCCAAATGGTCTGAGGTCAAGTTCCCACCGTCTATGAAGAACAGGGACTCAAATGGAAATACTAGCTCACACGGCAGGCACTGTTCTAAGTGCTCTGAGGGGAACATGTTTCTAATCCTCCCACAGAAACCTACCATTGCCCCATTTCATAGACGAGGACACTGAGACCCAGAACGCTCACGTGAAGGTGCCCAAGGTCACACTGCTGGGAGGAAGCGAATGCAAACCAGCTCTGGACCCGGACTCTGTGCTTTAGCCGCCACGCTCTAATGCAGCCACGAGTAGGTTCGGTCTCGGAAAACAGCAAAGCTGCGTTTCCTTTCCACCACCTGCTGCAGCGGGTCTCCTTCCCGCAGGGACTCAGCAAGGCTGCCTGCGCCCTGGGGGCTGAGCTGGGGCCCTGGAGTGCGGCCCCTGCAGGGAGGACCTGGGCCCCGCCTGCCCTCCCCCTGTAGGTTGAGTCTTGCTCTGTCCCAGTCAATTTTAATGGACTCTCAGGGCAGGGGTGGGTGCACAGGTGACCTCTAATGAGCCATTGATTTTACAGTGGACGCCTGTTCCGGCCCCAGCGCATTTCCTCCTAATGGGAGGAAAATAAACGTGAGAACCCGCTGCCCTGACCCAGGGCCATCCTGGGGCGTCTCACTCATTCCTGCTGTTTCTCCTTCTGAGGCCAGAGATGGGCTTTCCAGGGGACAGCACAGGGCGAGAGCAGCACTTGGTCCTTTCCCAGCTCTAACTCGCCCGGTCTCCCAAGCCCCCATTTGCTCAGGGGTCCAGGCCATTTCCATACACGACGGAGCCGTCACTCGGTTGTTCAAGCCCGAGAGCCCTCCTTATAGCCCCTGGAGTCCCCTAGTGTGGCTTTTCTGCTTTGACCCCAAGACAGGCCCACCTCCACCCACCTTCCCTGCCCCCACTTCTCCAGCATCACTGTCACCTCTCCCTGCATCACTGCAGACTCCTCCCCTCTGGTCTCTGGCCTCCACCACGGGGCCTTTAGAGTCCACTGTTCCCATAGCAGTGAGATGACACGTTCAACATGTAAATCAGATCTTGTCACCTCTGCTCACAGCCCCCATGTGTCCCCACCTAACTCAGAATAAAATGCCAAAGGTTGGCCTGGGCTGTGGGCCTGGGCCTCCCTCCTTGCCTTTGCCCTCCATGTCCCTTTCCCCACCTCCCCCTGCTCTGAGACCCACAGGCTGTTCAGGTGGTTAGCACGACAGAGCTCTCTTGCCTGTGGCTTTGAGTCGGGTCCAGCCTGCGGGGACCCCCAGCAGGATCAGCAGAGGGGGAGAGCGGTGTTGGGCTGGTGGTTCACTGGACTTCCTCCTCCAAGGCTGGCTGTGCCCTGGCCTCCTTTCTGTTCCTCACCATAGGAAGTTTTTGTTGATTTTAAAGAGAGAGAGACAAAAACATCGATATGCACTAGGGACTAAACCTGCAACCTAGGTATGTACACTGACTGGGAGTGGAACTTGCAACTGTTTGGTGTATGGGATGATGCTCCAACCGACTGAGACACCCAGCCAGGGCCCCCCATTAATCTTAAAACATTGCCCAGTTAGCTTCTCTCATTACCCTATGCCATTATAAAATTAACTTTATTAGTTTCTAGTTATTGTCTGCCTCTTGTCTGTTATTTTAACCACTAACACAATCCCAGGTACATAGTAGGTATTTGGTAAATAATGCCTGAACAAATAATTGATGAATATATGGTGTTCACAAAACCACACACATTTATGCCCACATCCATATGCACACATGCACACACACACATATATGTGCACATACACATTTCCTCCTGAGGGAGAGAAGGGCAGGTTTGGGCAAGAGCTTCCCTTCAGTCCTGTGGTCCTGGGGGAAGAATGGACCTCATGGCAGATTCGAGTTGGTGTCTGGAGCCAGTGCTTGGAGCCATGACAAGGGTCTGAACTGGAGACAGACGTTTGGACAAATTTGCATCCTTCAATGTCACCATCTCAGGGATACCCTCCACCACCCTCCTGTCTATGGGGTGTGCCCCTGCTCCCCCACTAATCTTTAAAACATTGCCCAGTTAGTTTCTCTCATTACCCTTATGCCATCATAAAATTAACCTTATTGGTTGCTAGTTTTTCTCTGTCTCATCTGCCATTTAACCACTGACTCTTAGAGTCTAACACAATCCCAGGCCATGGTAGATATTGGATAAATATTGCCTGAACAAAAAAATAATTGATGAATAATATAGTGTGCACAGACATATGCATGCATGCTCACACCCACATCCATGTTCACACACACACATTCATGCCCATATTTATGTACACACATGCACACACACACACACATACACACTTCCTGACTGTGGGAATCTTTTGTTAAATCACAGCACACAGGTCCCTGGGTGGAGCTTGCGATGGAGCCCACCACGGAGCCAGTGCCCACCCTGCCCCGCTGACACCTGCTGAGTTAGAACAAGATGGTTAGTGAGGCTCTCCCTCCTCTGCACAGAGACTGTCAGCTCTCTGTGGATTTATGCTTTGTCCTTCTCATTCCTCTTCTCCAACAGTGTCTGGGAGGATTTATGGAGAAATAACAGAACGACACCTGAGCTTGGGGACATCAACCACGGCATCTCCAGAGGATGGTAACGGTCACGTGGATGATGTCACATGGTTCCCTCACCCTCCTCGCCCCCAGCTCCTGTCTCCTGAGGCCGCATCTGCCCTTCAAGGCCCAGCCCAGTCCTGCTTCTTTCCCCGAAGTCTCTGTGCTTCATGGTTCCAGGTCTCCTGTTCCTGAGGCAGCCCTGCCTGCCACTCACTGGGGTCATTTCACAGAAATGTCCTCCCTCCTCCCCAGGCTCTGCCCTTGGATCCTCCCCCCCGCCCCCCGCCACCTCTACGGTGGTCAGAACACTGCTCACATCCCTAAGGACCCAAGGTCATTTCATAGAATTGTCCTCCCTCCTCCCCAGGCCCTGCCCTTGGATGGTCCCCCCCGCCGCCCCGCCACCTCTAAGGTGGTCAGAACACTGCTCACATCCCTAAGGACCCAAGTTGGGGTTGTTTCCTAACCAAGGGCTCAGCATCAAACATGGCACAGATAGGACCAGGTTATGTCACAATTCACCGTAAAGTAAAGCTATAGCTTTAAAGCTCTGTAAATATTTAAAAGTAATGAAATTGCACTCCAAGTCTTATAGAGATGGCTATAAATCGACAGTCCATGTTAATTATATGTGAGTCCTCCAACGTAATAAAACGTACACATCATACATTATAAATGTACCTCTCCAGGCCCATAAATTTGATGTAAAACTAACATATGAGCTATAACAGGCACTAAACATTTCATTAACACTAGCTTTGCTTGTCTTCTTAGAATTTAGGATGTCTATTTTGGAATAATTTGGGTGGCCCAAGACTGTGATAAAAAGCTGATGTGGGAAGGTATGTGAGTTTAGCAAGCAGGGGGATATAACACTCCTGCTGTTGACCTTGGAATGTGGATTTTAAAAAATCGCCTGCAGCTCCTCCCCTTGTCTTCCTGTGGACTCCGCCTGGGAGATGGAGGTGAGTAACAAATATGGACTCAGTGCCGTGTTCCCGCATTTACTTGTAACATCTGTCTATGAAGCCATTTGTTCATGAAGAAACATGGAGATTGTCACTCACTTTAGAGCATTGTAGTTTTGTATTAAACAAGTCTTTTTAATTGTAAAAGCCCAATTCAAACTGACATAAGCCAAAAGGAGAAGTTATTTGCCCAGCAATGGGCAAGGCCAGGGGTTTTGGGAAGAGCTGGCTCCAGGAACTCGAATGTTACTATAAAGGATTTGTCTCCATTTCTCATCCCTGATTTCTCAATGTTCTCCCATCACGTCAGCCACCCCAGTGGAAAGATACTGTCTGCTTTGTGAGAGTCTCAGAAACATCGCAGACTGACTCTCACTGGACTAAAGTGAGGACCACTCATTCTGGCGGAGGATTGGCTGCTTAGGTTGGCCTGTTAGGTCGAATGCTCACCCTCGAGAAGGGTGTGGGAGTCATTCTCTACTGGAAACACCTGGACCAAGTGTGCGAGCCATCCATTCGGTTCCAGCAACAGAAACTGCATCTGGCTAACAGGCAAAATGGGAATTTCCTGGAAGCAGCTGATCAGAGAAGGCTGAGAAATAGACGTAGGACAGGTGGCAACCGGGAGCGTTCCAGAACAACCCTGCAGCAGAAATTGCTTACGTGGGTGACCTTGAGACCAACACACAATGGAATGAGCCCAGTAAATGTTGGTTGGATGAATGAATAATTAATGCAAAGGAGGGGGCCTAGAAACTGCTCAAGACCACAGATATCCATTATATGTTTTCTTCCCAAGTACTTTCCCCACCACTTATTCTGGACTCTTGCAGGTTCCAACCATGGTAATGGTCTTGAACTTCCTGATGCCCGTGACTTGATTGGCTTCCAAGATCCCAATGTCAGGATTTCCCCCTTCTCTCACCATCTTTTCTGTCTCCTTCTTCCTGGCCCTTAATGTCACATGCCTCCAGATTCTGCCTCCCACCCTCCTCTCCCCACCTGCTCTCTTGGGCAGCTCCTCTTTGCTCACAGCTTCAATGTCGTCTTATCTCTGGTCCCACCATCTCTCTCAAATTCTACTCTTAGGTTTCCCAGATCTGAGACTCAGCTTCTATTTATTAGGCACCTACTGTATGCTGAACCC